TACTCCTGTAAGTTAAAAAATAGCAGACACCAGCGCTACTGGTTAAATGAAAGACTCACTTCATCTGTTAGCCTCCTGTATCAGCATATTCTAATAGCACAGAAGGTTAACAAGTCCATCTGGGAGATCTAGTCTTCTTTTCCTAGAATAGCCAACCCTTTTACATTTCTGTAGGAAATAGCACTTATGTAAGACAAATGGGAATCCTCCATTGTAATAAATTCTCACATTCTGCACTTCTTCAAGGACATTGTGAAGTTGAATTCCTGTGTTTCTAGGAGAGAATTGGCAAGACAAAAAAGGAAAATTAAGCTGAGAAATATAAAACCTTTTTCCTCACCTCTTGGCTTAAGAAAGTCGTAAAATTATGGAAACTCCTATTGGGAAGATGCCTAGAAGTCAAGGACTAGAATATTAAAGTCTTAGGTTGTATTTCATAGACCGGGAAGAAAGTTTTCTTCAAAACTCTGCTGTTACCACTTAAACTCTTTTGTGTATTAGTTCTCTCCAGTGTCTAAATAAGGGCTAGAGATACTATGAGGTTATCAATATTGTAAGAATTACAGAAAAACACTGTAATAACTGTACTGTTATCATTTCAGAAGACTTTCTGATATTAATGCCATTTACTTAATCATAAGATTTATCATGAGTATTGTTGGAACATGTAAGTGAAGGTGCTATGAAAAATAAACCTAAAGGATCAACTATGAAGGTTTTTTCTTTTTCTTTCTTCTTTTTTTTAACCACAAAGGCATCACAAAGTCTCTTTTTGATTTGAAGGCAAGTGTTATGTACAGAGAGACTGAGAACTATGCCATTTTAATCCATCCATCACATTGAGGAAAAGGCCATATTGAAATTAAATCTTTTGTCTAATATATTCCTCCGTTTTATTTTGGCCAGAGAACCCATTACACCTCATCCACTATCCACAGATCACTTCTTGTCTATCTGCCCCTATAATCAGAGAAAGATGTCCTTATTTCTGCTCCCTTTTGCTAACTCTTAGAATGAGATTTATCATATACTAACCTGTAGTACCCTTATGGCTTCTTATTTAGTTGACTTTAAAATCTTTGGACTATCAGATAAGGCGCTTGAGATTTATTATCTATTGAGATATATTACCCATGCCCATCCACTTGGGAGCTTGTGTTTTAACCTGGCTCACTTGTGCTTTGACCTGGTTTACTAGTGGATGAGTGGATATCATTTTCCAGTGCAACTTGGTGGGACAGATTCACTCCCAGAGGGATGTTGTAGTTTTGTAGATATGGGTAGGAAAAGGATAATGTAGGAGGAAAAGATCAATTGAATCCCACTACTTCAAGTAGCGGGGTAGACTTTATGTTCCAGATCCTGTCATTCACTTCTCAACAGAGAAACACAATATATGCAACTAAATGCTTCTGTGATAGGATTAACTTTTCCTCCTTGATAAACATCTCTGGAACGGAAGTGTAGAAGTGTAGATTGCTGCATCTCTGCCTCATGTCATCAGGTCTCAGAATAGGCATAAAATGTTAGCTTCTGCAATTGTTCCATTTTCAGATAATGTGAACTTGATGAGTACTAGGTGAAAGCAACTGAAACTTTAGGTGTATTTCAAAAGAGGGAAAACTTTCTCAGTTCCAAAGGAGGAAGAATATCATGTGGTTTTGGGGAGGTAGTATGTGTGATTTATTTTTTTTCCAGATTTTTAATTTTTAATGGACAAATCACTATTTTCTGCTTGGCATTATGGAGGGTTTTACAATCCAGATAATACTATGAATATTTAAGAACATGCTTAATTGCCAAACAACAGAGCTTTGTGAGCAATCAAAACAGGACCTGGCAGCCCTCTCTGGTGGTGCAGTGGGTTAAAGCACAGCACTAAGAAGCTAAAGCCACTTCAGCATGAATTTGATCTCCACCCTGGAGGTGACCCACATGGAGCAGCAGAACTCTCCTGATCCACCTGCTGCTCCCTTCAGCAATGTTCTTTGTCAGTTGGCCTGTTCTGCTCCCCACTCTGCCTCTGGTGAATCCTCTCACCATCCCTGCACCTCTAGCCTGTACCCCAGTTCTGTATGTATAAGTAAATAAATCCTAAAAAAAAAAAAAAAAAAAAAAAAAAAAACAGGACCTGGCAACCATTAACCATTTCCTTGGCATGGACTTGCGCTGCCTCGATGAAGAGGTTGATCAAATCACTACTATTAGCAGCTGCTAGTTAACGTGTTTTTGGTATTGTCTTCTGTGGTATTTATTAAAAGATTGGCTATATTTAAAGGGACACACCAAGTAGAGGAATTACTAAAGCTCAGAACATAGCATAGTTTGGCCTATATTTAAAGGCAAGTATACTTTTTAAAGAGTTGGAAGGTATTTCTGGAACTCAACAGATCTGTTGCTAAATTTTGCTGCCTCTTAAGTTCATCTCTTAGCTCTTCATTCTCCTGCCCAGACCCATGCTACGGGTGTCTGCATGACTCCTGCATTGCAACTTTCCTCCTTCCCCAAGCATTGTCTGCTCTAATCCAGTCTTCAATCGCCTACCTAAAATACCAACAAAATGCTTCACTGTTTGGTTTTTACATATCCCATTTTGCTTAATCCATAAGAACTTCTTCAGCTCTCTCTTGACTTGTGTTTCAAATACAAATTCCTCAGCTACTAACGTCCTTGACTGCTCTCCATCATGTCCCTTCCAAGTTCTTTACATCTGCTTTACACTCCTTGCAGTAGGCATACAGCTAGCTGACACTGTACTGTTGCTCTTGATATTCTCCATTATCCAATTGCCTTAAAAAGTTTGCATTTTTCAGAAATATTTTTAATTCCATAAACACTTTGTCAAGATTTTCTAAAGTTCTAGAATAAATTTATTTACTAGGCACTTTACAGTAATCTGCTACAAATATTCACAAGTATTTTTATATGAGCACTTTAACAGTAATTTAAGTAGATGTTACCACTTCCAGTGTACATATTAGGAAACTGAGGCTTAGACAGACTTCTTGACTTGCCCAGATCCATAAGACAAATGAAAGATGACACTCTAATTTCCTGTCTAACCTGTGTTCTTTCCACTTTTTCCAATGTTCATCACTGTATCGTTATGATGTTTTTGTTGTTGTTGTTTAAGATTTATTTATTTATGCTTACAGAGCTGTTGTACAGGCCAGAGGTGTGGTGGGTGAGAGAATTCACCAGAGACAGAGTGGGGAGTAGAACAGGCAGATTGAACAAGTGCACTGCTGAGGGGAGCAGCTGGCGGGTCAGAAGAGGTCTGCCACACCATATGGGTCAGCTCCCTGACCAGGATCTAATTCGTGCTGCAGTGGTGGCTTCCGAGAGCTTCATAATGTGGTGCTTTAACCCTTTGTGCCACCAGGGAGAGCCCTCATTACGATGGTTTTTACTGATTACTAACTAATCTCTTGAATTTGTTATATTGTACAAATTCATATTGATAGGATATCCTTTATTTATTTATTTCTTAATCTTTTTGTAATGCCTACTACAGGACTCTGGAAATAAAAAGCACTTAAAGATAGAATTCGAATGATATTTTACTGATCTCTATTAAATATACAAGTCTTTGCCCTTGAGATACTTTGCACTTATTTCTGGGTGAAGTTTTAGTAAGACTTTCACTGATTGGCACACACAGAAATGAACATCTGGCGTGCACAAACATTGAACATGGCTGGTAATCAAGTACTGGACCAAAATCAGGTCACCAGTTTCTCAGCAATACTCTGCTACCCCTTGAAACTCGGTACCATGACCTGAAATCATAGGAATTTGCTGTGTACAGACCACAGGCTCTTTACAATGCTTCTTTCCTGGCTCTTGGGCAATTATACACATTATGTGTGTGTGTGTGTGTGTGTGTATTAATAAAGAGATTGTTTAATGTCATTGGAATTGCAGGTGCTATGCCAAACCTGATGTCAAATTCCCTTTAGAAGTGAACAGTGATCTTCCAGCTCTATATGCACTGAATCCTATAGGTGATCCTGTTCATGTGGAGAAATCTGACCCTGAGTTAAGCTGGATACTTAGCTCTTTCTCTGGGTGTGGGCCATGACTCAACACAGACTAGCTAGCTAGTTTTTCTCTACTCTTCTTGACAATCTTTATTTATTGAAAGGTTCTCCATGTAAATGATGACAAAATTGCTACCTACTGCTGTCCCCATTAGAAAATTAGGCCGTCAAGATTCTCAAGGAAAAGATGAGGGAGTCAGTGCAGCATTGAAGTCCTGGGTATCAAGCTTCCAGTTTTTCCCTCCTCCTTTGGGAAAAATGAAATCACCCAGGGGCCCAGAGAGATCATTTAGCCAAGTGTGACTTCTGAGCACATCAGGCTAGGAGCATATGACAGCCACATGGGGCTCTATGGAGCATGAGAACATGGATTTTGGAATGAAACCACCTGGGCTAGAGTCACAGCTTTGCCACTGAGTAGCTGTGCCATCCAGGAAGGTGACAACCTCTGCGTTGTTGCTCATCCTTAAATAGAAGATTGGATAAAACTTACCATATATGGCTATGATGAGCATTACATGAGTTAATATATATTAGGTATGTAGACCAGCCTCTTGCTGGTAAATGCCATGTGAGTGATTAAGTTACAAAACTAAAGAAAAGAAACAAAAAGAAAAGGAAAACAAACTTCATTCCAAAACCTACAACCTTGCAGCGCTGATAATCTTGGAAGGAATAGTCTTACCACTTACCCCAACCAGACCCTGTAAACACCATCTGAGAGATACTTAGGTCATAGAACTTAATGAAACATGATATATTCCCACCATAATCTTCATTACTCAATCTCGAGAGCTATTTTGGGGTAACTACAGTTTCATTCGGTGTGTAAAGAAGGAAAAATGAGATGTGGTATATGCGACAGAACCAACTACTATCAAAGACAGAAAAGTGATCCTGCTTACAAATGCGTAATTTAAATGAGTTAGTTCATGGAACTTTTTCTCATTTTTTTTTCAGCTACTACCACACAATCAAAACGAAGAGGCCACTTCTCTCGGTGCCCCAAACAATACAAACATTACTGCATCAAAGGGAGATGTCGCTTCCTGGTGGCAGAGCAGACACCTTCCTGTGTGTAAGTGGAGAGATCCGCGACAGCAAGTAACGGGGTAAAGCAGGGCGCTGCCTTGGGCTTGCCAGCGCTGGAAAGTCTGAGCTAACCACGCCATCTGTCGGGACACACTTATGCTGGTCCAGCCTCAGGGCACGTTTTAGGGGCCGCATGGGCAACTCCTTGTGGAGAAATTGACACACACTCTCCTCCTGAAATAGGAGCTTGTGAAAAAGTCCAGTTCTGCTTCTAGGCAGGGCTCTGTCTTCTGCCGGCTTCCACAGGCCAAACTGATTCTGGTTTGCAGTTTTTCAGCTCAAATAACCCATCAGGTGGTTCCAATGGAAACAAATTCTTTTGGCATATGTTGTGTGTTTGAAGTTGATGTAAATATGGAGACATTTCTACCAAATTAAAAGTTACTTTTTTGCAGGTGTCAATTAGGGGCAAGGAAATTGATTCTATTTATAAGAAAAGAGTCACAAAGTTTGTTTGCTATGCAAACAGTGAAAAATACTCTAACTCACAATGGATTAAAAGTTCACTTTTAATTTTACTCAGGCACCCTCCCTGGTGGCCAGTGGGTTAGAACATAATACTACAAGCTAGTTGAGGCCCCTTCGGTGCGAGTTCGATCCCCCGCACCACCCCAAGGTTATCTACATGGCACAGCAGACCTCTCTAACCCGCCCGCTGCTCCCCTCAGCAGTGTACTTCGTCGATCTGCCTGTTTTGCTCCCCACTCTGTCTCTGGTGAAGCTTCTCACCGCCCCTGCACCTCTGACCTGTACCCCAGTTCTGTATGAATATACAAATAAATCTTTAAAATCTATATATTGAGCCATTTAAAAAAATAATTTTACTCAGGAACAAACCCTTTTTCATTTTTAAAATATTCACTTTCTTTTAAGCAGATGTGTCCCTGCGCCGGTTCCCCATAGAGGAACAGGATTTTTTTTTATTTATTTATTTATTCATACAGAACTGGGGTACAGGCCAGAGGCTCAGGGATGGTGAGAGGCTTCACCAGAGACAGAGCGGGGAGCAGAACAGGCAGATCGACGCAGTGCACTGCTGAGGGGAGCAGCGGGCGGGTCGGGAGAGGTCTGCCACGCCATGTGGTCACCTCTGAGGCAGGCGGGGATCGAACTCATGCTGAAGCGGCTTTAGCTTCTTAGTGCAGTGCTTTAACCCACTGCGCCACCAGGGAGGGCCCGGAACAGGATTTTTAAGATAAAATTTTGACCTAAATTTCCTAGAATGTTTATGTTAACCTGTGCAGTTCGCCCAGTACACATTTTTTCCTTAAGTATGTCTGAATAGTGGTACCAAATTCTATTTAAGTAGAACTTTTAAGAGTCATGGGCTTCTTCAAAATTCAATTAAGTTTAATTTTTAAAATAAAACACATGGATAAGATTTAAAGAGGGTCAAAATTGCTAGTGTAAAGGAATAAGGCCAACGAGCCTAAGTATGTGCTGGGAAATATAAAGCTAGTTCAAAAAAATCATTTAATTACTCACTGGCTTGGGAAACTATATTGAGTTTTAAAAATATTGATGCCCTTTCACCTGGCACATTTCCTTACTGATCCCTGTGTCTGCAAACTGTTGTTCTTTAATATTGCTGCCTTCTAAAATCACAGGTAGTGTGGAATCTAAAGCAATGCAAGCTTGTCCCTTTCAGTCAGAGGTTAAAATTCATTTCCTTGGCTCCACAACTCCTCTAATCCTGGCCTAACCCTCGGCCATCTGCACCCTATTCTCCATGACCCCCTAGAATTCCACACTCCGGCCTGTGGGTTATTACAGAAGCTTTTCTCACTGCCTGGAAAGCTTGGTCTTCTTTGTTTTTGAAATATGATCCTAGAAAAGCTTTAAGCTTTATTGTGTGTATGTTTAGTTTTTATATTTTATTTTTTGGTTGCCACTATTTATTTAATATTTTTACATCATTATTCATTTATATACAATGTATGCTTTATCATCGCATGTATAGTTCCCAAGAAATTCCGACCACCATACTCCCTTGTGCTCTTCCCACCCATTTTTTTTTTCAAAATTTATTTATGTATTCATATAACAACTAGGTTACAGGCCAGAGGTGCAGGGTGTGGAAGGACTTACAGAGACAGAGTGGGAAACAAGCAGATGATTCCTGTTTTGATCCAATTTCATCCCCTCCCCCCCAAAAAAAACATTTCCCACTGAAAAATATCTTTGGTTTATAGTTGTCTGTTGATTTTGATCTTTACTTTATTATAATCACTCCGTACCCCTCCTACCCCCTGCCCACCTCAATCCCTTATTTCGCCTGTAAGTGAAACCATCTGGTATTTTTCTTTTTGGCTTATGTCACTGAGCATGATCTCTTCCAGCTCCATCTGTGTTGCTGTGAATGGAATGAGTTTATCTCTTTTGATTGCTGAGTAATATTCTATTGTGTAAATACCACATTTTTCTTTATCCAGTCATCTATTTTTGGATATTTGGGTTGAAGTTTCCATAGCTCACCTAGTGTAAATATTGCTGCAGTAAGCATAGGTGTGCAGGTGTTCTTTTGAATTGATGTTTTTGTGAACTTTGGCTAGATACCCAGGAGTGAAATTGCTGGATCATATGGGAGGTACATTTTTAGCAATTTGAGGAACCTCTACACAGCTTTCAATTTTGGTTGGACCAATTTGCATTCCCCTGGCAATGTAAGAGAATTCCTTTTTCTCTGCATCCTCACCAACATTTGTTGTTGCTAGTTTTTAAAATATTGTAAAATATGTGCCATTCTCCTTGGTGTAAGATGGAGAGCTTATTCTTTTATTATTATTTTTTAATTCCCATGAAAGACTTTATTTTTTTCCTTTTTGTTTTTTAATAATATAATAGCTTATTTTTTACAGCATTTTGTGCCTTTTTCAATCTCAGTTGTAATCCCCGTGGGCTTCCCATCACCACATCAGCTATGTGCCATCACCACAGTCCAGTGCATTTCCCTCCCCCCACTGTTTTTGATCCCATCCCCCACTCCACCCCCATAGAATGTCTCTGGTATACAGTTGTTCATTATTATTATTATTGTCTCTCCTGGTCCTTTATACTCCTGCTATGAGTGAAACCACCTGGTATTTTTCCTTTTCTTTCTGGCTTATTTCATTAAGCATGATCTTTCCCAGCTCGATCCATGTTGCTGCAAAAGGCATTTATTTATTTATTTATTTATTTTGGTTGCTGAGGAATATTCCATAGTGTATATGTACCACATCTTTTTTTTTTAATTGAAAGATTTATTAATTTATTCGTACAGAACTGGGGTACAGGCCAGAGACGCAGAGGGTGAGAGGATTCACCAGAAATAGAGATAGGGGTACAGAACAGGCAGATCAACAAAGTACACTGCTGAGGGGAGCAGTGGGTGGGTCAGGAGAGGTCTGCCTCGCCATGTGGATCTCTTCTGGGGCAGGCGGGGATCGAACTCATGCGGAAGTGGCTTAAGCTTCTTTGTGCTGTGCTTTAGCTTGCTGCGCCACCAGGCAGGGCCCTGTACACATCTTTTTAAGTCAGTCATCTACTTTTGGGCATTTGGGTTGTTTCCATGTCTTTCCAATTGTAAATAAACATGGGAGTGAAGGTGTCTTTTTCAATCAGTGTTTTTGTATCTTTTGGTAGATACCCAGGAGTGGGATTGCTGGGTCCTATGGAAGCTCCATTTTTAGGGGAGCTTATTCTTAATGATATTTAAGGTGCAACTCAAACATCAGCTCTTCTGGACCCCTGCCCTGACTTGTTCCAAGACTCACATTTGGGTCAGAATTAGATATCCTTCTCTGTCTTCTGGTCACATTCTACGGATGCTCTTTTCCCCATTGTTTAACTTCCTGTTTCTTTGCATGACCCATCTATGACTATGAACTCCTTAGGGCAAGGTCCACAGTTTATCTTTTTGTGTTCTAGAATCAAGTACATACCTGGAATTTACTAGGTGCTCAAGAAATGCTGGAGAAATAACAGAATAAGTCCTCCTAGTATAGTCTATTCAATGGTGTTTTAACATCAAAACCCAGGCTTTAATATGAAACAGGAACATCTTCTTACTAGTGGATTGACACAAAATAACTGGGAGGTAGAAAAGCATGGGACGCATGACAAAGATTTTGGAGTCCAACAGACCTTTGTTAAAATTTTATTTCTGGGGTCTCCCTGATGGCACAGCAGGTTAAAGCACATCACTATAAAGCTATTGCAGCCACAAGTTCGACTCCTGGCCAGGGGGTGACCCACATGGCATGGCAGACCTCTTCTGACCCGCCCGCTGCTCCCCTCAGCAATGTACTTTGCCAGCTGGCCTGTTCTGCTCCCTACTCTGTCTCTGGTGAATCCTCTCACCCTTGCATCTCTGGCTTGTACCCCAGTTCTGTCTCTATAACTAAATAAATCTTTAAAAAAATTATTTCCACCCACTATAAGCAGTGCTAACAATGGCACATTTACCTTTCCTGAAGGAAAGTAGTGTCTTTCCTTGAGTGTTGGAAACTAAGCAAAATAATGTGGTGAGTAAAAATAGTTCTCATGGCACTCAACACAGAGTAAATTTTCCATAGGATGTACCAGTGAGATGACTAGGAGATGTTTAGCCAATGCTTGATGTTGTAAGTGACTTAATGTAGTAGAGATTCAGATAGAACTGTTTTGTCATTGGTGACTACTCATTTTAGGAAACCAGAAGTAAATCACTTACTAGAGATCATAGAAGCTTGTGATTCTTGTTTTTTTTTTTTTAAAGATTTATTTATGCATACAGAACTGGGGTACAAGCCAGAGGTGCAGGGGCAGTGAGAGGATTCACCAGAGACAGAGTAGGGACAAGAAGAAGCCAATTGATGAATTACACTGCTTAGGGGAGTGGCGGGTGGGTTAGGAGAGGTCTGCTGCACCATGTAGAACATCTCTAGGGCAGGGCTGGAAATCGAATTCATGCTTAAGTGGCTTTAGCTTCTTAGTGCTGTGCTTTAACCTGCTGTGCCACCAGGGAGGGACCCCTGTTTTTAATGTAAACAAAAAGTGTGTTGCAAGCAACTCAAATTTTCTTAGTCTTCTTAATATTTCTTGGGAAGGAGAATGTTTCTAGATACATCATTTTAATTTATTTATTCAACATAGTTCATTAAACAGTTTTATATATGATCCGGACATGAACTTAAGTAGTCACTTTTTTTTTTTTTTGTGCATACAGAACTGGGGTACAGGCCAGAGGCTCAGGAGTGGCGAGAGGCTTCACCAGAGACAGAGTGGGGAGCAGAACAGACAGATCGAGGAAGTACACTGCTGAGGGGAGCAGCAGGCACATCAGGAGAGGTCTGCCTCGCCAAGTGGTCACCTCTGGGGCAGGCAGGGACTCGAACTCATGCGGAAGTGGCTTTACCTTCTTAGTGCTGTGCTTTAACCTGCTGCACCACCTGGGAGGGCCAGTAGTCACTTTTTAAATCATAATCCAACTCGCTTATCTATACACCTCAGTTTCTCCACCTAAAAAATGGGATCATTAATAGGCTTACTTCAAAGGTTGTTTGTTAATGAACCACTTGGTTTAATACTTACAAATCTCTTAGAATAATATCTGGTGATTATTTCAGTTGGTAATCCCAAATCCTGACTTTGCACACTCCTCAAAGGACAAGAACATCTTAAAAAGTTATTTAAAATAAAAGATGTTTTAAATTTGTTGGATAGATTAAAAACTCACTTATTCAGTTCCTTCCTGGTGGCTTAGGGATTGAGCCTCAGCGCTATCTCCACTACAGCCTGAGTTTCACCCCTGACCAGGGAACAAGTTCAGTGAAAAATTCAGTGAAGCACAGCTAAAGAATGGAACCCAGAGTTAAAAATTAGAAAAGCATTTCAAAAGAATAGCCAGTAACTGCTGTCTATTTTTATGGGAAAAACTTGTTTAAAAATATTATAGCTAGTAATTTTATTAGAAAAACATTTAAAATAACTGGAAGAAGCAATATTTGTAAGATATTGTGACCCTAAAAAACTTTAATCTCCACATGTGCAATTAAGGGTGATATTTCCCCTCCAGTTCCAGTCCTATGAGCAATATATTTCTGATATTTTGAGATATTACTAAGCTTTCTTCATTTAATTGTGGCCTTGAATGAAGATCCCTGGCTACCTGGCAGTAAATAGTCCCTTATTGGCCGTCCTTGGCGGCACAGTGGGTTAAAGCACAGTATTAAGAAGCTAAAGCCACTTCAGCATGAGTTCAATCCCCAGGCCTGGAGGTGACCCACATGGCCTACAGACCTCTCCTGACCCGCCCGCTGCTCCCCTCAGCGGTGTGTTACAGTACATCTGCCTGTTCTATTCCCCACTCTGTCTCTGGTGAATCCTCTCACCGCCCCTGCATCTTTAGCCTGTACCCCAGTTCTGTATGCATAAATAAATATTTTTTTAAAAAAGTTCCCTTATCATATGATGCCCTTTTGCTAGATGTTTTTAGGCATCTTTGCTTTCATTGAGCCTCACCTTTCAATTGATGGTTGTGACTAAGCTTTTCTTATCTTTTGAAGTATTGTAACAGCTACATTGATAGCTTTACAAGAATTCCTTTCTTGGGAGATAGTTTTTTTATTTTTCTTTGAAGAAATTGTGTCTTTTATATTAAGTCCAAAAAGGGAAAAGTGTCAATTTCTTTAAAAAAATTCTTAAAATTATTGTATATTTTATATTGTCGTTTCATTTTTCTTCTTGTTTTATTTTTACAGCTGCGAGGAAGGGTACGCTGGGGCCAGATGCGAGAGAGTTGACTTGTTTTACCTACGAGAAGACAGAGGGCATGTTTTGGTGATTTGTTTGATAGTTGCTATGGTAATTTTTATCATTTTGGTGGTTGGTGTCTGCATATGCTGTCAGTAAGTATTTTGAAATTAATTTTAAGTAAATCTGAGAAATCGTATTTTGCTCATTGTTTCCTTCTTTCTCTTCTCCCTACCTTTCTCTTTCCTTTTTTTGCTTAGAGAATAGATCACATTTTCAAGGTTTGTCATCATTTATATTGAAGTATTTATTTGTAATAAAACTCAACATATGAGTGCTTATCATTTTAATGGGCATAATATATTTAAAATAAAAATTGAATAAATTTAACTAAAAAAAAACAGGATCAATGAAAGATGAAATGGTTGAAAATGGTTAAAAAATGAAAACTTCCAGTTATAAGGTAAATAATTTTCAGGGATGTGCAACATGGCAACTCTAGTTAACAGTATTGTATGATATTTTTAAAGTTGCTAAGAGAAGCTGCTTTTTGGGAAAGCAAATGAGTTTACAACCTTGTATAGGTTCCAAGAGTACACTTTCTCTTGGAAGAAAATATCCACCAAATATCCATTCACCATCCATCAACAGCCACTTGACTCCTTCTAATCTCCTCATCTGTTTTGAAAACCACCGTTCTGTGGTCAAAGTCTAAGGTTGTCTTCTTTCCAAAATAAGTGAAAGCATATGGTATTTGTCTTTTTTCTTCTGGCTTATTTCACTTAGCATAATCCCCTCAACTTCCATCCATGTTAATTGCAAATGGAAGATTTCACTTTTATTTTTAAGGCTGAATAATAATCTATTGTGTATGTATGTTTATGTATATGTATGCACATATGCATACACATATATTGATACACACATGTATTTGTACATATGTATCAACTATATATACTTATAACATCTTTATCCACTTATCCATTGTTTGGTTTGTTTCCATACCTTAAGGATTGTGAATAGTGCTACATTGAACATAGGGATACATTATTTTTTCAAATTAGTGTTTTCATATCCTTTGGATAACTACCCAGAAGGGAGATTAGTGGATCATATGGTAAAACTAGAATATTTTTGTCAACTCCATACTGTTTTCCATAATGGTTGCACAAACTAACACCACAGTCATGAGGGTCCCTTTTTCCCCACATCCTTGCCAACAGTTATTGTTTCTTGATTTTTTTGGTCACATTTATTCTAATTGGTATGAGTTGAACTCTAATTGTGGTTTTTATTTTTATTTAATTTTATTTATGATCAGTAATGTAGGTCATCTTTTCATGTGTGTTTTGGCTATCTGCACATCTTCTCTGGAGAACTGTCTATCCTTTGGTGAACTATGCATTTTGATTGGGTTATATGTTTTTCTTAAGTAGTAAGAGTTGTGTATATATTAGCCATTCGTCTAATATATTGCTCACAAATATATTCTCCCATTCAGTAGGTTGCCTTTTCATTTTAATGATGGTTTCTTTCACCATGCAGAAGCTTTTTAGCTTAATATAGTTACATTTGTTGATATTCTTCTAAGTAAGTGATTTTTATAGTTTCTCAAGAAATTTTACAAGAAAAATATTGTGTAACTCAATGTTGCTGTGAGAACAGCTTCTGCAGAGTCATCTGGGATCTAGACTCTTTGACTCTTATCTCAGTTCTGCCTTTAAATACCTTTGAGAACTTGAACAAATTTCTTAACATCTTTAAACTTTAATTTGATTTTCTCTGAAATAATTTGTAATAACTCTTCTTATTATAACTGATTTAGTTTTTTCTCTTAGTTTATGAAAAATATTTTACAATGCCATGTTTGGGGCGGATTTGGGAAAGGTTGATTTTCTTACACTAATTTTACTGGATTACTTTTGAACAACAGTTTAAGAAAACTAGATTGCAGTCCAGAATATATAACATATGTATTAATTGATGCATCTAGAAGACTAACTGGCATATCCAAAGGCTATTTTTATGTCTATTTTCCACATGCACTTTCTCGTTTCATGCTACATAATGTGTATCAAGCTATTTTATAAAATAACTAGACCTGAAAAAAATGTATTTGTGTTAACCAAGCTCTAGCCACAACAGATACCATTTTATTTCTATTTAGAAATTAGACCCTACTGCCACACTACTGCCTATAGAACAATAACAATATTTTAAGAGCTATCATTTGAGAGTAGAGAAAGAGATGGCATACGTGAGAATTAAAATATTTATGGAAAATATTGATTTTGATGTAGAATGAAGTCATAGGACATCTTAATGATTCATTTTCTTTTCATGTGAACTAACAGGGCCATTTTAACACTTTTCTAAGTCCTCTTAGGAAACGTCGTAAAAGGCGGAAGAAAGAAGAAGAAATGGAAACTCTGGATAAAGATATCACTCCTATAAATGAAGATATTCAAGAGACTAATATTGCTTAATGGTAAGTGTGATAAACTTGGTGGATGAAAACCTATTCAGGTGACATTTATGTAGTGAAATGGAGTTTAACTGAATTAAGTAAATCATTCATTGGAAGGTGATTGTTTTAAAAGTCTAAAAATTAACATTTTCCCATAGAATCTGAAACCAAATGAAAATAACTTCTGGGAAGATGCGTTTGCTTCCAAAGCCTGGAAAGACTGGAGGAAGTGTTACCTTGTCACTGAGAGGCTCCTCCCCCTCCCCACGGGACCTAGAGCTGTAGACAGAAATAGCTACCTGGAACCTAAGTAAGGCAGGAGGTGAGGACTGGAGATTAATAGCTGTGACTTTCCTTCTCCAGACCATCAGGCAAATTCAAACCAGAACCTGAACTTGGTGGTCAGGGAGCCTTTGTGATGCAATCTGCAGCCATCAGTCCCCAGGAACACACACAGAGGGTAGAGACAGCCTCCAGGAGTGTAACTAGCATAATCAGCCCAGGTGCTTTGGAATATAACAGCATCAAACCCAATCAAACTGGTTTAAAATGAGAAAAGGCATTGGCTCATGATAGCTGGCTGCTGGAAAGGAAGATTGTCTCCTGGTTCAACTAAGAATGAAGACAATCTTCCTTTCCACTCAGGGAAGCACATTTTTTGTTTTGTTTTGTTTTAAAGATTTATTTATTTATGCATACAGAACTGAGGTACAGGCCAGAGATGGGGGGTGGGATATGTTGGGGTGGGTGAGAGGATTCACCAGAGACTGAGTGGGGAGCAGAACAGGCAGACTGACTGAAATATACTGCTGAAGGGAGCAACAGGTAAGACAGGAAAGGTCTGCTGTTCCATGTGGGTTAACTTCCTGGCCAGGGATCAAACTCAGGTTGCTGTGGCTGTGTATAACTTCCTAGTGCTAACACTTAACCCCTTGCACCACCAGGAAGGCCCAGGAAGGCACGTTTTTTAAGCATTTTTTTTCCCCTTTTGCTTCTCATTGTTTGAAGAGTTGACTTCATCCTTGGCTAGGGATATCTTAAGTCATAACAGATACCAGTAGTATTTGAGGCCACTTGCTTCCTTGATTACATCAGCAAGAGAGAGCAGTGACTTTCCATAGTTCTTTTAGCAGTAATTAATACCTCCTTTCTCAGAAACTACCAGCAGATTAATGGGGTATCAAGGAATTACAAGATTCTCCTAACAATACCAGGATGACCCTAAGGAACTGAAAGCAAAATTCAGGTTCCATATTTTTTTTTTCTTAGTTGCATAACACAATTCTTTTGAATGCTATGTCCTTTTATCTCTCTCTCTTTTAATTCCTACAGGCTATGAAGGTACCTCCAGGCTGGCTTGCTCATTTGAAAATGGACAGACAATGTCTCAGGAAAGCTGCCAGCTGAAGTGAACTCAAATAATGTATTTACTTTTTGCTTGTAAAGTTTGTGTTGTTTACTATTGTTTTATAATATAAAAATAACTTTATTATTTTTAAGTAATTGGGAAAAATCCCCCAATTAAGAAGGGGAATTTTAATAAATTCCCAATTTAAGTTTTGTGACCAGGATTACTAGTCGAACAAAAAGAAAAAGGAGTTTAGATCTTAGGAGTTAAATTAATCATAAACATTTATTGAACACATAACATGTGCTAAGAGTTTGAAATATATTATTTCATTTAATCCTTGCAAGAACCTGTGAAATACGTATTATGGTCCTCACTTCCCATATATGAAAACAGGCCTAAGGAATTTAAATAATCTACCCCAGATTTATAATTAGAAACAGGAAGAGTTGGAACCAAGATTTACCCAAGTTCGAGTCATTTGGCTGTTTTATCTTTGTTAATTTTATAACCCCAAATTTTGTACTGAACTATGTTTTACCATGACCCAAATTTTGGGGTCATTTTCCACAGACACTCCAAATGCAGCCTTGGCCTGATTTCCTTTACCTTCATGCTTTCTGTAGTGTTGGCTTTTTATCACGCTGTGGGTTTTTTTTTGCTCCTATATAAATTCTCAATAACACGAATAAATTCTTACATTTTCAAAGCAACAGATTTATCCCTCAGCTAGGCTAATAGATAGAAATGGAAAGTAAATGCCTGGCAATCTTCAAGCCCAGGGAAGTATTAATGCTCATGAACACATAAATAATACCACCAGTAGAAGCTATTTATTCCAAGGTAATGACTAGTGACAGGATACTAGAGTCCAGGCAGATCTTGGTTAGTTGTGGTCATATTTCTTCATTTTGTTCTAAGAAAACTACCTGCAATTTTTTTCAGGTAAATTTAGTGCAATGAAATCATGACTACAATCATTTATTGCTTGGGATTATCTTGCCAAATGCCCCTTCATCTCCATATGTATTTAATAAGAACTTTAAAATCTGAAAAAGCAAAATCTAAATATGGCTAATATTCCACAGACTATGGAACTTTTTTTGTTGACCTGGTAGATCATTTACGAATACCCATGGAAGTTGTCTCCATGCTGTTGTATGTTGGTTTTTTTGCTGATCAAACGGTTTATGTTACGGGATCTTTGTAAATTTTATGTACAGTGTAGACTACATTCACAATATGTAGCAGGGAATTTAGACAACAGGTAGAGTTGTATTTCACCGTCTATCACACAGAATGCTGAGAACAAGACAGAGGCTGTGTTTACATATAACACAGAACGAGCTCCCCTGTCAATAAGTGTGAGTCAACAACGGATCATTTTCTAAATCTATATTGTCTCCTGTTAATGACCGTCCTTAAAACAGGATTATTCCAACAAATTCATGTTGTAGATGCTCTAGTTTTAAGTTTCTGGGTTCACATATGCACTTTCTCTTTCTGTCTTCTTTGTTACTAAGAGGGCTTTACAAATGCTTGTCAGAGCATTTAACAAACAACTCGATACTGTAAGTATTCCTGAACCAAGTTTGGCCAACCAATGGATTTTCTCAAGTCATTTCATGCTTGAAGATTTTGTTCTAATACTAAAATGCTAATAATATCTCTTAAAATTTAGTAGTCCTGGTGTCAAGAAAAAACTGAGGTTTCTAAAACTTTTCAAACTGTATTTTATCATTGTTTTGCACATACTAAATAACCCCATTTATGCAAACTGTCAATATGATCATGTAATAAATGAAATTTATTTTTAAAGCAAACAAAGATGTGTTTCCTTGGGAATTTTCTATTGGTATCATGAATTATTAAAAGAAATATATTTTGCCTTAAAAACTTTGTATCCTATGGGGTCTTCTATTAGTAAATTTGAAATCATTCATTCAGATCTTATGTTTTCCTTACAAACTGAAAAATTTGGCAGTGTGATGGACACCTATGGGATTATCTATCTGACCAAAATCTGGTCATATTTTTGAACCCCACCTCCAGCTACATTTGGGTAAGCACTAGTCAAGTTGGACCAATTTCAAGAGTGTGGGGAACATAAAGTGAAGTTAATTTTGTTGACCTCTTTGGATATAAAATGTGCATTTTGAAACTATTAGAAATCGTGTTTTGCTCCATGTGAACCAGGAAAAAAAAAGTAAGCTGGTCAGAAAAGAACACAGATGAATTGTGAGATTCTTGGTGGTCTAAGTTATGTACATTTCAAAGTCTAGCCTCATGCCATTCTTGTCCTCTGGCTCCAGGAGACATGTTAGTATCTTTATAATTAATTTCTCATTTACCTTAAGCTTCTTGTATTTGGATTTCTGTATCCAGACTAAGAGCCTAACCAAGTCTAGTGCTTCATAAGATTGTGGACAGTTTCTTAAAGGGGAATTGGCATTGTCTGTGAAACAATTATCAATTTATTGTTTGCAAATAGTGCCTTCGATTGTATTAGAGGAACATTTCTAGCAAGAATTTTGTTTTCACCACACAGACATTCAAGGCAATAGTTGCAGAGGAGCAATGCAAGGGATCAGAGACACCAGCACGTATTGTTTAGGCCGCTTCTGTATTCTAAGCACTATGCCACCCACTGTGATGAGTGCTAAGGAGGAATAAGACATGGTCACTTAAGGAGCTTCCAGTTTAGAGAGTGAAACAGCAATGTACTGCTGATTTCAACACAATTTGGTGCTCTGAGAGTCAGACTTAACCATCTTAGAAGGAACTGTGGAACAATCTTGAAGGAAATTAGGTCTGCACTGATCACTGGTTCTGAGGAAATATAGATGTTTCTTGGGCCCCTGTCAAATTCTAAAGACTTTCTTGAAAATCTCTAGCAGTGGAGGAACCTGCAGGAGTTGTGACAAGGGAATAAAAAATGTCACAAATCAATGATCCATGCTTTGTTAACCTGTCCCAACACGATAGAATAGACTGCAGGTGTGTGAGCTCACCGGAGGTGATCCTGGTTCCAGTGCTGTTATATTAATTGATGAACTGAGATGGACAGTAGCATTTGATCTCTTTTGTGGACTTGATTACTTGGAAATTTCACATTTTTCATTCTACGTATTTATAAATGTTTTAGGCCAGTTACACAGAAAGCATAAATAATTTGTTGCTTGGTTAAATCCCTGGCTTGTGCAAAATTTTCTAGAGAAAGTCCAGGGCATACTTGAGTGCTCACAGCTGTAAGACCAAGCTTTTACCTTAAGGCCACCTTCAATTTAGTATAACCTGCATGTATTTTGAGATCTTAATCATATTTGGATATGATTATCATTGATTCATTCAAAAGTATTAAGTAGCTATCAAATGCCAAGTATGTTAGGTGATAAGGTTATATCGGTGAACAAAATGCTTAAGGAAAAAATATGACCTCATGGAGCTTATATTTTAGTAGATAGAATCTTTCGTGACTGAGAATGTAAAGCAAAGCATATCCAAAAAGTAATACTGTCCAGAGGACCTTGCCATTAGACTTTTAGCTGATACCACTGTTCTGGAGCATGATAGTCAAGATGAGCATTCACAGAACTCAATTCATGATAGGATTAACCTTGACATTATTTACATATTTTAATAATGACTATCCAGAACAACAACAACAAAAAAAGTATAGCTATGTTTCTTTGCTGTAAATATCTTGATTTATACATTATTTTTGCCATGGTTGATGTATGTGTGTGCTACCTTAGGGCACCTGCTTTTCTTCAATGCTTCAAAGCATTTTCTGCAAAGGAGCCTGTTCCCACATGATCATCTTTCACAGCTGAGCATTAATGCCACAACATGACGTGCAAATGAACCATTCTTGCCTGTTTGCTAATGTTACTGGATCCTGGGACCGTGTATCTGACAATAACATTTAGTTGGCAATGCTATGAACTCATTCTTCCTCAGGACTTGTTCGCTCTTGGTGTTGTAAGAATAGTCTAATTATGAAATTAAGCTACATACCTCCAAAACTGTATCAACAATTATGGTAAAGCTAAATTATTAGGAATGGCTCTGCTGTTGGAAATAGAAAATAATTGAGATATGTTTAATCAACAGTTATTGTCAATAGTTGTCTTATAAAATAAGTGCTAATAAAGCAGACATTTTAAAATACATTTTTCTGTTTTATTAGTCTTGCTTATATAAATTACATAAATAATAAGTAAATGTGCAGCAGAGGTAGTTTGAAGAGATGCTTTCTGCTTCAATTTGTTTAAAAGAAGTCAAATTAACATTTTTCACAAACACAGAACCTCTTAATGTTACTTGCTGTGGAAAGTGTAATTATTCTTATAAGAGATGAGCAGAATATTAACTATTTTGAGACTCTGTGAGCCAAGCTAGATAACTACTTGCTGTTTTCTGTGTTGTAGCAGGACGTGCAAGAGAATATTTACCTAGCTTGCTCTCTAAAACCATTTTTGGACTGCTAGGATGTGTAAACTGATTTTAATAAACCTGTTTCTAACATTATTTTTAACACCATAGGAACGTTTGTTTACGCAATGAACCAGAAGTAGCAATTCTAAAATAGTCATTTAGCCCAGAGCTTTTGTTTGTTTGCTTGGTTTATTTGTTTAACTCCAGGTGACATCGGGGTTCTGTGCCCCTCCTCCTGTGCCCTGACACCAACTGCACTTCCAGTATCTGAACTCTGAGCCAGACCAGAGCTTCTGGTCATTCTACAAAAGGCAGAGGGATCGGGAAAACTTACTTCTGAAGCATATAGGGTCTCTATTCAAAGGGACCTGCGCTTTAATCTCAGGTGTGTCATTTACTGAAGGTCCTGGGCTAGTTACTTAACCTTGTCATTCCCATAGTCAGGTGAAAGCAGGGACTACATAAGGGAGTACATAGGGTAAGTTGAGAGGGTGAGATGCAATGTCTGTCAACGTGTAGGGCAGAATTTGGAATATTTGAAACATTTTTTTACATGAAGATTCAATTGTTGTTAGTTATTATTATTAAGATCAATAATAAGTTATAAAGAATTCTGGGGGCCCTCCCTCACTGGTGGTGCAATGGGTTAGGACACAGTGCTGCAACTGAGCCACAGCCGCCTCAGTATGAGTTCAATCCCCCCCCAGGGAGGTGACCCACCGGGCACAACAGACCTCTCCTTTCTCACCCATTGGTCCCCTCAGCAGTGTACTTCATTGATCTGCCTGTTCTGCTTCCAGCTCTGTCTCTGGTGAAGCCTCTCACTGCCCCTGCACCTCTGGCCTGTACCCAGTTCTGTATGCATAAATAGATAAATCTTTAAAAAAAAGAAAACAAAGAATTCTTCCATGAAGTTAAGTCAGTGCATTAATACAGTGAGAGTTCTCTGTATTATTAAGGTTTCATGATCCCTATGGAAAGGAATGTCTTTCAATTCATATTGGAATAAACCACGTTTAGGTAAAGAATCCCAACTCAGTAAATAACCTTATGAAATTGCTCCATTTCTCTCCTTTTATTCCTCCCATCTTCCCTAATCCTTCGTGGAGAATTTAAGGAACAGTTACAATGAGAAAATTGAGGCAAAATAATTAAAAGAGTACTGGAAAATAACTAGAATTCTAATAACTTGTATATTATTCAGGATAACGGTTTTGGATTGAACTTTTATTACTTGTGCACTCAGTATCACTGAAGGTGTTGAAATGAGCTTGGGTGAATGTCTAGAAATAACCCCTCAGATGTTATTTGCAATGTGTCCACACAATAAGAGTTATTATACCATTTACTACATGATAAACCTAAGGCTCCAGAAGCATAAAGTGTTCTGCCAAATAATATTACTAGTAAGTCATTGTTTTTGTCTCTGAACTTTGGTATCTCAAACTTTGGAATTCTATTAAAATTATCTACTTTCCAAACAGGAAGAAACAAAAATGTGTTGGCCTGGACTCTGCCAATTAATTAAATGATTAATGGGACTATGTGGTTGACAAGTCCTGGAGTATTTTTTTAAAGATAAATTTAGTTGTGTACCTAAGAACTGGGGTACAGGCCAGTAAGAGGTTTCACCAGAGATAGATTGGAGAGCAATCTATCAGAGCTACTGAAATACCCTACTGAGGAGAGCAGTGTGTAAGACAGGAGAGGTCTGTCATGCCATATGGGTCACCTCCCTGGCCAGGATTAAACTCATGCTGCAGTGGCTGGAGAAAGCTTCATGGTGCTGTGACTTAACCCCTTGTGCTACCAGGAAGGGCCCTCCTTGAGTATTTTGAAAAGTGCGCCCTCCCTGGTGGCGCAGCCGGTTAAAGCACAGCACTGAGAAGCTAAAGCCACTGTAGCATGAGTTCGATCCCTGCCTGCCCCGGAGGTGACCACATGGCATGGCAGACCTCTCCTGACCTGCCTGCTGCTGCCCTCGCCGCCGAGTACCTTGTTGATCTGCCTGTTCTGTTCCCCATTCAGTCTCCGGTGAAGCCTCTCACCGCCCCTGAGCCCCTGGCCTGTACCCCAGTTCTGTATGAACAAATAAATCTTTAAAAAAAAAAAAGTGAAAAATTTAACAGGAATAAGATGTGGATTCTGTAATAATTACCTTTGTTTTTTGTTTGCTTTTAAATTCACCTTTTCAGTCATGTATAATAGGCTTAGCTATCAGTCCTTAATGCTGTTAAAATATCTGAAAGTAGGCCCCCCCCTGGTGGCTCAGCGGGTTAAAGCACAGCACTAAGAAGCTAGAGCCATTTCAGCACAAGTTCAATTCCTTAC